ACTGAGCTCCCCTTCAGGGCACAGATATGGCCCTGACCAAACCCCATGCAGAGCACAGCCTTTCCCCTCTCTGTGGATCACAGGCTGGAAGACACAGCACCCTGATGTTCAATGATGAATACAGATTAGTATCATGTGGGACACTGCACTCGAACCTATATGCATGGGAATCTCTGGAAAGGAGGCACAAGAGATATATTTGCAAAATGTCTCAGCATTTTAATGTGAAGCCAGGGTTGAGTTAAACTCAGAGGGAGCAAGCCCAGAACAACCCCCACCTTGTGGCTCTGCTCTCCTCTTGGGTCCTTGTTGTCACCAGGATCCAGACAGTGGACAGAAAAGGAGCAGAAAGAAACATCCAAGGCAGGCAATACGGGCCAGAGTTGGTGAGGGTGAGATAGGGAAGGGTCACATAAACCTCCACTGAGAAGGTGACATCAGAACACAGACCTAGGAAAGGGATGATGTTTGTCACCTGCAACTGAGGGGCTAGAGAGTCCTAGGCAGAGGGACAGCCCAGGTGAAGGCCCTGAGACAGGAGCAACCTCAGCTCCAGGAAAAGGAAAGAGGCCTGTGTGTCTGGAGCAGAGGGAGCAAGCTGACACAGGGAGGAGATGAGATCAGAGAGGTCCTGGGGGTGCAGATCAGATAGGGCAGAGGCCTTTTAACATTTTTCTCCCTCACCTCAAAAGAATTTTGGAAATGCTAGTTTCTCACCCATTTTAAGCAATCATGTAATTTTTTCTTTATATTATTCGTTAAAACACTTTCAAAAAGGAACTGTCTCCTAGACTTTAAATATATACCAATATGTTCACTTAAGCTCCCAGAAGTATGGGGTCACTCTTATCTGAGATAGGCAAGACTGCAGGGGGGTGTACATGGGAGAATTCAGGATGTCACTAGTGGACACGTAAATACGGAGATGCCTGTTGGATGTCCCAGCAGAGAGTTGAGACAACTGGACACAGAATTCTAGAAATTAGGAGAGAAGTCTACAAGGGATGGAGACATAAAGGTGGAGTTTAAAGCCATGAGATGAAATGATAAAGAAAGGCAGTGGCTGGGCGTGGTGGCTCAAGCCCATAATCCCAGCACTTTGGGAGGCCGAGGTGGGTGGATCATGAGGTCAGGAGTTTGAGACCAGTGTGACCAACATGGAGAATCCATCTCTACTAAATATACAAAAGTAACCAGGTGTGGTAGCACATGCCTGTAATCCCAGCTACTCGGGAGACTGAGGCAGAAGAATCGTTTGAACCCGGGAGGTGGAGGTTGCCATGAGCTGAGATCACGTCATTGCACTCAAGCCTGGACAACAAGAGCGAAACTCCGTCTCAAAAAAATGGTTGGAGAACTAAGCCATGGGTCACTCCCACATTCAGAAAACAGTGAGTCAGGACATACCGGCACAGAAAAATGGTAAGAGATGAAGATGACATCAAGAAAATTAAAGAGCAGGAACAGATCCTTTCCGGTCAATACTGAGTAGAAAGCACGGGGCTTGAGATAGGTGGGTGAACTTGTTACAAATATCTTCCCATCATCGAGACAGGAAACAACAAACTGTTTTTATTGCTCTCGTGCTCAACACAGAATACTTCTGGTCAAGAAAAGGTGTGGTTTTCCCTACACTGACAAGTTCCTTGCAGACTTCCACCTGAGAATCCTAAAATTTAGCTCAATTCTTACACTATCTACAAGGAGATAGTGTCAGATCCCATAGGTGAAAAGTTCAGTCCCATAAGACTACCCTTCACCTTAGAAGCTGTACATAAGTAGTAGTTGTCACCTCTACTTCTGACTGACCAGACAAACATCATGGTTCCCAAATCCCCTCCTGCATTCAATTAATTTTCTAGAACTGCTATTCCATCTGGCTGTTTATCTGCAACCTTTGTAATATCCTTTAAAACAAATGAGTAAATCCATGTAAAACGTTTCTGAGTTCTGTGAGCTGCTCTGGCAAATTAATAAATACTGAAGATTGGGTCATGGGAATCCTCAATTTATACCCAGTAGCTTAGAAGTTCAGGTTCCAACCTGGGACTTGTAATTGACATCTGAAGTGGAGAAGTCTTGCGGACTGAGCCTTTAATCTGTGGGATCTGATGCTTACTCCAGGTAGAGCTGTCAGAAATGAGGTAAACTATGGGACACGGAGTTGGTGTCTGATAGAGAACTGCTTGTTAGTGGGGAGAAATCCCCACACATTCGGTGACCACAGGTGAAGTATTCTGGGTTCAGTGTTTACTATCGTGTTGAGTTTCAGAGGAGGAAAGACTAAATAAAGCGTTTTTCCTCTGGAAGAGCACATTTTCCAGCGGGTACAATTTGGAACCAAAAAACACTGTCAAAAGTCAGGCCCCGTCAACTCCCTCAAAACGGGGTAAGGAATGCGGTGACTGTGAAGGGGAAACCTGGGGAACAGAAGGGCCCAGCCCAAGGAGGACAAGGGTTGGGGTGGATTAGGAGAGGGATGGGGTTTCCAAAACCCCGGGCCGGGCAGAGGACACGGCGCTGATGCATTCGGACTGCGGGGCTGAGCTCCAAGGGACCAGAAGGGCGAGACTTGGAGGACCCAGAGGACATGAATCCACCTCGTGGGTGAGAGCTTTTACCTGACGCGGGACCAAAGAAGTGGTCAGTAAAGGGTAAGCAGGTAAACGGGACAAAAAGCGTCTACGTGGCCTGAAGGCAGAGAACCCAGGGGCAGGACCAGCAGCGTCCGGGCGATTTAACCTCTGAATTTCTTGGCGACATATTAATTTACCTAGGGTGGAGGGAAAGGCGGGAGGACTTTAAGGTCCGTAGGAACCCCTCCACCAACACTGAGTACAGAAGCGCTGGAAGCGGATCTAATCTAAAGAAAGAGAAACTCAGCCAATGCTGTAAGACTGTCACCCCAAGCGAGCGACTTCCGGGTCTTCAGGAAACTGGGCTTGCGAGTTCACTCCCCACGATTCACTTCCGGGTTTGCAGGAAACGGTGCGCAGCGGAAGCCAGGGCTGGGCGAGGCACGGGAGAAGTGAGGATGGGGCGAGGTGGAGCGGTGAGCGGCGGGGTCTGCGCTTCCTTCTTCCTCTCTGGGCGCGCCTGTTTTCCAGGTTTTTGAGCAAAGACCATATCGGTGACCAGCAGCCAAGCGGTCTGGGAACTGGGATCGCTATGAGAGGGTCAAAGTAGGGACAGTGATTGGACCTAAGATAGCTCCTGCAATTAAAGTTAATTTTAGTATTTTAATGTAAAAGCCCTGGAATTTTCTGGGACAGGGATGCGAACTAGAATGTGAAATGCAAAGCCCTGCGTGGGTGGAACATGCAAATTGATGCTGGCTCCCACAGAACAGTAGAAATCCTCTCCTTTTCTATTCTCCCTACATTCTGGAGTGTGAGGATCAACCCTGTGCTCAGCTCCTGAGAATTTCCCAGGGACAATGCCTTGGGCATGGACGGCTAAGGCCAGGGATAAGTTAGGTCCCCAACTGTTGCTTTTAAAATGGAAAGCTAAAACTTTTAGATGATAGATATAAATGACTCTTAAACTTTTAAACAATAGATATAAATAGCTCTCCCTTATGCCTGTTACTCTATTCCAAACTTCAGATGAATTAACCTCAAACACCTCTGAGATAAACTTTATTGACATCATAATGTCAATAATTTCTATATGTAGAGTGAATTTCAAATTTACATGCACTCTGAATGTAAATAGAAAAGATGCTTTTTGGCTGGGTGTGTTGGCTCATGGTTCTAATCCTGTAGCAGGACGAGTCACAGACAAAACTCCTCAGACACTGGATTAAAAATGGAAGAGGTTTTTATTCGGCTGGGAGCGTCAGCAGACTCGCATCTTAAGAGCTGAGCTCCCCGAAAAAGATATTCCTAGCCCTTTTAAGGGCTTACAACTCTAAGGGGTCCACTTGAAAGGGTCGTGATAAATCAAGTAAGCGTGAGGAATGTGACTGGGGGCTACATACATCAGCGAACAGAACAAAAAGTTTTACAGTGCTTTCTCATATGTCTGAAATTTACAGATAACACAAGTAGTTTTGGTCAGGGGTTAACATTAGTATTATTTTAACCACCAGGGCCAGGTGGTGGCACCAAGGTCATCTAGCTATTTATCTTACTTCTGTTTCTTTCCAACTTTTTGCTTTCTCCCTTTTCTCCTGTCTTACAAACTAGGGAAAAGGGGATGTGGCAGAGAAGCTGGGAAGGACAATAGGAAAAGTGGTGGTCTCATTCCAATCCTAGCACTTTGGGAGGCTGAGATGGGAGGATCTCTTGAGGCTAAATGTTCAAGACTAGCCTGGGCAACAGAGCGAGTCCGTCTCTCTTAAAAATTACACACACAGCTGGGCAGTGGCTCACACCTGTAATCCCGGCACTTTGCGAGGCCAAGTCGAGCAGATCACCTGAGGTTGGGAGTTCAAGACCAGCCTGACCAACATGGAGAAATCCTGTGTCTTCTAAAAATACAAAATTAGCTGGGCTTTGTGGCACATGCCTGTAATCCCAGTTACTCAGGAGGCTGAGGCAGGAGAATGGCTTGAACCTGGGAGTTGGAGGTTGTGGAGAGCAGAGATCGGGCCATTGCCCTCCAGCCTGGGCAACAAGAGTGAAATTCCGTCTCCAAACAAAACAAAACAAAAAAACAAAAACAAAAAACACACAAAAAAACCAAAAACACACTTTTTGTTTTTCTTTAAGTTGCTGAAGGGGTGTCATTTCTTGAATTAAATAATGCAGGATTTTTTAAAAATCTGTAACTGATTTACATTTGATTTTTAGGAGACACTGTTTACATCAGCTCACTACAAAGTAGATTTACATACAACTATTGCAGAAAAAGAAAGTTTCTTTGTGATCCAAACACAAAGAAATATTTTTTATGATCTTTTCCTTGATCATAAAAAAAAAATGCAATACTTTTAGAAGGTAAAGCTAGTACTTTACAGAAGTGCAAAACACCAAAACACTTTAAGCAAAAACTCCTTGTTTTTAAGAAAAAGGTATGACTTCTCGTTTTCTGTTCTTGGCATAAATTTTAATTCTTTCCAGTAGAACCAAAACCTCCTGAACCCCTTTTGGTGTCATCCAAAGCTTGAACTTCTTCTATTTCTGGATAGAACACAAATGAGCTGTGCAATTCGATCACGTTATTTGACTTCAAACTTTTCTTTGCCAAAATTAAAGACTACAACACCAATATTTCCTCTATAATCTTCATCTGTGACACCAGCTCCTACATCTACAACGTGTTTTGCAGCCAAGCCAGACCGTGGAGCTACTCTTCCATAATACCGAGAAGAAAGTGCTATCTGAATGTCCATTTTCACAAGAGCCTTCTCCATAGGTGATATTGTGTAACCATAGGCACTGTACAGGTCATAGCGCGCATGCCCGAGAGCTAGGCAAAGCGGAGCTGTATGTTGCCCTCCTCCAAGGACTGGGCCCCGTGCTGGGTGAAAGGGCGGGTCTTAGCTCCACAGCAGCCTCTGCTTAGGACAGCCGCCGGGGCGTCCAGTGCTGTACTGCGTGGATGAGGGGTGGGCCTGGCCCGGAGAGCCCTGCGGCCCCGGCCCCTTGCCGTGAGCCTCACGCGTTTTGCATCACCAAGCAAAGTAGAGAGGGAAGGAATTGCTAGCAGAGCGCGGGGCAAGGGCAGAGGGACTCATTTCCCCCAAAGTTTGGGCTGGTTGGCTCCTCGGCACCTCTGGACGTGTGCCAGGCTTCCACCCTGAAGACGCGCGCGTCCCAGGCCAGAAGTGAAAAATCTCTGGGTAGAAAATTATAAACAGTGATGAAAGAAGTGGAAAGGTTACACAAAAAGTAAAGACCATCTTGATGGGTGGGAAAAATTAATATTGTGTATATGATCACACTACCAAACGCAATGTACAGCTTCAATACATTCTCTTTCAAAATATCCAAAGACATTATTCACAGAAATAGAAAAAAAAGAATCCTATGGCTGGGTGCGGTAGCTTATGCCCGTAATTCCAGCACTTTGGGACGCCAAGATGGGTGGATCGCCTGGCTTGGGAATTTGAGACCAGCCTGGGCAGCAATGCAAAACCCAACCCTACAAAAAATACAAAAATTAACCAGGTGCAGTGGTGCGCACCCGTGGTCCTAGCTACTCAGGAGACTGAGGTAGGTGAATCGCTTGAGCCTGGGAGGTAGAGATTGCAGTGAGCTGAAATCGCGCTATGGCACTCCAACCCTGGCAATAGAGAGAGACCACGTCTCAAAAAACAACAAACAAAAAATCCTAAAATTCATAGGGAACTACAGAAGATCCAAAAAAGCCAAAGCAGTTTTGAGCAAAATGAACCAACCTGAGGGATATTACACTACCTGACTTCAAAATATACTAGAAAGTAATGGTATCCAAAACAGCTTGTTACTGGGATAAAAATAGACACATAGACTAACTGAACAGAACAGAGAACAAAGAAATAAACCCACATCTTTGCAGCCAGCTGATTTTTGACAAAGAACATGCATTGGGAAAAACGACAGTCTCTTCAAAAAATTGTGCTGGAAAACTGGATATCCATATGCAGAAAAATAAAACTAGACCCCTATTTCTCACCATACACAAAAATAAAATCAGAATGGATTTGACATAAATGGAAGATCTGAAATTATAAAACTATAAGAAACAATAGGAAAACTCTTCAGGGCATTGATCTGGGCAAAGATGTCTTAGGTAAGACCTCAAAAACACAGGCAACAAGGGCAAAAATAGACAAAATGGATTATGTCAAACTAAAAAGATTCTGCACAGCACAGGAAACAGTCAAGATAGTGAAGAGACAAGTGACAGAATTGGAGAAAATATTTACAATCTATCCTTTTGACAAGGGATTAATAAACGGAATATATAAGAAACTCAAACACCTCAATAGCAATTTTTTTTTTTTTTTTTTTTTTTTGAGATGGACTCTCACTCTGTAACCCAGGCTGGAGTGCAGTGGCATGATCTTGGCTCACTGCAACCTACCCCCTCCCGGGTTCAAGTTATTCTCATGCCTCAGCCTGCCAAGTAGCTGGTATTACAGGGGTGCACCACCACGCCTGGCTAATTTTTGTATTTTTAGTAGAGACAGAGTTTCACCACCTTGGCCAGGCTAGGCTTCAACTCCTGACCTCGTGATCCACCTGCTTCGGCCTCCCAAAGTGCTGGGATTATACGTGTGACCCACCGCACCTGGCCACAAATAAATTTTTAAAGCCAATTGAAAAACGGAGCAATTACCTGAAAAGACATTTCTCAAAGGGAGACATACAAACGACCCAGAAGCCTGTGAAAAAATGCTCCACATCACTAATTATCAAGTAAATGCAAATGAAAACCACAGTGAAATATAACTTCACCTCATTAGAATGGACATCATCAAAAATACAAAAAATAACAAATGCTGGTGAATATGCAAAGGAAGAAAATGCTAGCACACTGGTTGGTGGGAATGCAAATTAGTATAGCCGTCATGGAAAATAGTATGGAGTTTCCTCAATAAACTACAAACAGAACTACCACATGATCCAACAATCCCACTGCTGGAAAGAGAGAAATAGAGAGAGAGTGAGAGCAAGCATGAGCAAGTGCACGATTGAGAGAGAGAGGCAATGAGAATAAATAGAAATCTGCACACGCATGTTTACTGCAGCACTGTTCTCAATAGCCAAGATATGGGATCAACTTACATTTTCATCACGAACAAATGGATAAAAAAGTATATATAGACAATGAAATACTGTTCATCCTTTAAAAAGAAGGAGGCCTAGCAGAAGGCCAACCAGAACAAAATTAGTACATTAAACAACCAAAACTCAGGACCCTCACAGAGTCCATTTCACCCCCCTGCCACCTACACTGGAGCAGGTCCTGGTGTCCACAGCTGAGAGACCCACAGACAGTTCACATCACAGGACTCTGTGCAGACAACTCCCAGTACCAGCCTGCAGCCTGGTAGATCTGCTGCTGGCTAGATCATCCAGATGGGAGATAACAATCACTACAGCTCGGCTCTCAGGAAGCCACATCCCTAGGAAAAGGGGGAGAGTACTACATCAAGGGAACACTCCGTGTGACAATCTGAACAACAGCCTTAAGCCCTAGACGTGCCCTCTGACACAGCCTAAGCAAATGAGAAGGAACCAAAGCCAACTCTGGTAATATAACAAAACAAGATTTTTTAACATCCTCCAAAAAATCATACTAGCTCACCAGCATTGGATACAAACCAAGAAGAAATCCCTGATTTACCTGAAATCAGGTCAGTTATTAAGCTAATCAAGGAGGCACTAGAGAAATAAATGATACTATAAATGAGGAGAGAAATTTCAGTTAAATAGATAGCACAAATAAAAAACAATCAAAACTTCAGGAAACAATGGATGTGCTTACAGAAATGCAACACACTCTGGAAAGTCTCAGCAAAAGAATCAAACAAGCAGAAGAAAGAATTTCAGAGCTCAAATACAAGGCATTTTTGTTTGTTTTGAGATGGAGTCTCACTCCATCACCCAGGCTGGAGTACAGTGGCGAGATCTTGGCTCACTGCAACCTCCACCTCCCAGGTTCAAGCAAATTCTTCTGCCTCAGCCCCCGGAGTAGCTGGGACTACAGGCACTCACTACCACACCCAGCTAATTTTTGTATTTTTAGTAGAGATGGGGTTTCACCATATTGGCCAGACTGGTCTTGAACTCCTGACCTTGTGGTCTGCCCATCTCAGCCTCCCAAAGTAAGACAAAGTTTTTGAATTAACGCAATCCAACAAAGACAAAGAAAAAATAGGAAAATATGAACAAAGCCTTGAAGAAGTCTGGGATTATGTTAAACAATGAAACCTAAGAATAATCGGCATTTCTGAGGAAGATGAGAAATCTAAAAGTTTAGAAAACATATTTAGGGTAATAATTAAGGAAAGCTTTCCCAGCCTTGCTAGAGACCTAGACATCCAAACATAAGAAGCTCAAAGAACACATGGGAAATTCATCCCATAAAGATAATCACCTAAGCACACTGTCATCAGGTTATCGAAAATTAATAACATTCCCATTCTGTGTGCTCAGACTTAAGAGAAAATGCATGTTTTCTCTTCCACTTCAAAAATAAGACTACTGTTTTCCATCTTTGCTAAACAGGAACTATTGCTATTCAATTGAGGAGGTAATCACCCCTTCCCCTGCATGATTTCTACCATGTAATCAGTACCAAACAACAATTATTCTCTTCCCATAAAAATGTCATGCCTTTAATGGCATGCTCTATTTTATGGCTATTAGAGCACAGGAGCACTACACCCTTGTCAAGAAAAGGGTGGGCGGAAGGCAATCAGCCTGACTGCTTCATGCAGTCATCATTTTATGTTATTCTCTACCCATGTCCCTGCTGTCTAAATCAGACAACATTTAATATAAAAAGGCAGTGTTGTTCTTCCAGGAAACTGAATAGAAATTATCTCCAGCTAGTGAAATAAGCCCTGTCATCCTATTGATTCTTTCAATTGATTCTTTCCCAGAGACCACAGTGAAAGGCTTGTAGAAGGAGCCACATATCAAGATCCCAAGTAGCTTTGTGCTGAGACCAGCTCAGTGGTGGAGACCCTAACCCAGCGGTGCTAAAGGACTTAAAGACAATCATACAGAAATATAGAGTGTGGAGTGGGAAATCAGGGGGCTGACAGCCTTCAGAACTGAGAACCACGAACAGAGTTTTGCCCACATATTTATTGATAGCAAGCCAGTGATAAGCATTATAGATTATAGATTACATAAAAGCATTCCTTATGGAAACAAAGGGATGGGCTCTGGTTATCTGCAGCAGGAACATGTCCTTAAGGCACAGATGGCACATGCTATTATTTGTGGTTCAGGGAAACCTTAAGCAGCTTTCTGCCCTGGATGGGCCACGTATTCTTTGCCCTCATTCTGGTAAACAAACAACCTTCAGGGTGGGCGTCATGACCATCAAGAACATATCACAGCACTACAGATTTTGTTTCTGGCCAGTTTTGGAGCCTGTTTCTGGCCAGATTTGGGGGCCTGTTCCCAACACTTATAGGAAAAAAGATAATAATTAAATTCTATCATGTTCTCCAGTAATGGTCCTTGGATATCCTCAGTATACACAATCCATCTGTGTGGTTTTATCCAAGAAGTGTATTTTGATTTCTAGTGATTTGGAAGGCCTCAGGAAAGCCTGGGTCACATACATTACATTTATATGATTTCTCCTTGGTATGGAATCTCTGATGTTCATTAATGCCAGAGCTCATGATGAGATTTCCATACACAGTTTGTAAGGACTCTTTCATGAATAAATTATCTGATGCTGTCCAAGGTGTGAATGGCGACTAAAACATCTTACCGTGTACATTGCATTTGTAAGGTTTCTCTCCATTATGCAGTGATTTGCATTAGTAAGGTTTCTCTCCATTATGTGGTGATTTGCATTAGTAAGGTTTCTCTCCATTATGTGGTGATTTGCAAGGTGTGAATTTCAATTGGAGACATTGCCACATTCAAAGGTTTGTCTGCAGTATGGATTACAAGATGGGCAATAAGGCCTGAGCATTATCTAAATGCTTTGCCACATTCACTGAATTTGTAAGGCTTCTCTGCAGTATGAATTCTATGGTGATTGGTTAAGGAATACTTGTGACTGATGACCTTTCACATTGTTTGTTCGCTGATTTGTTTCTTTGTTTTTCTAGATAGGGTCTCACTCTGTCACCCAGACTGGAGTTCAGCACTGCAAACA